CGAAAAGAGCCCTGGGACTCCCCAGCTCCTGTGGCAGCCTCGGGGCTTTGTGGGGCTCGTGCAGAGCCCCCTATGTGGCGTGGGGCAGCGGGGATCAATCCCCGCCGGGCAGGAACTGGCGAGTTCAGGGTTTTGGGTTTTTTTTCTTAAAGGGCTGGAGCTGCAGCAGGCGGGGAAGCCATGTGGGGGGCTGGGGCAGGTGGTCAGGGGGCTCATGCAGAGCTCCCCACACAATGGGGGGCCGTGGGGATCGCGCCCCCCCCACCCCCCCACAGCACCCAGTGCATGGGGGCTTTTTTTTTCCAAGTGCTGGGACCTGGGGCAGGCGGGGCAGCCATTAGGGAGAGTGGGTGGGGGATGGGCCTGGGTGATTTGGCAGAATCAATTCGGGACATCAGGTATAGATGGAAAGGGGCATGCACCGCTGAAGCAATTGTTGACCAAGCCTCCAAGAGCTACTGAATAGGCCTGTGTGAAGTGGCTAGTATTTGCTCCTGCTGGTTCCATTCCTTGCCCGTGCTCTGCAGGGGGCTGCACCTTAAGACTATTCACGTGTTGAAATCTGTGTTCAAGTCAAGCATGTAGGGAGCAATTGTACTCCAAGAGTCTGCACTGACTACTTTGTACAAAAATGCTGACTGGCTGTGTCAGCCTCAAGCCCTGGCTGGTATTGGACCTGGTTCTCTTCCCTGTTCTACCTGCAGTTGTGAAGGGGTGGTGTTAACATTTCCCAAGTTTGAGAGAGAGGGTGCTTGAATTAGGGCATTCTTTATTAAAGGTATTTCCAGCTCTGGACCTTGCTCTCAGAATGTGCGCCTGTGTTCAACAGGGCTGAGATCAGTTGACCTTCAGGGCAGGCCACAGTTAGCATCTAGTTTACACTGCTGAGTGGAACCAGAGGAAAAAAAATGCAAAAAATGCTGGGAGATGCAAGATACTGGTTTAGGCTATTAGGAAAGGACCACAGGGGTCACTTTTTATGACATGTAAGGTAAATGGATAGCAGTGAATATGGTTTTGAGAGTGCTGTCATTAAACAGGTGTCAGTATGAGTTGGGGATTCAAATCTTTAACTACTTTTGGTAATTCAGAGGGGCTGGGAGCTGCTGGATGTGATGTCCCACACACATGGGAGACCAGAGACAGAGCATGTGATCAGAACATGGTTGGGCAGAGGCGATGTGCCTTTGTGTAAATAATAGAATAGAGAATGTGCTAGTTTCATTGCTGAAGTGCATGTGCAAGTGCCTTTTTTAAAGGCTTAGAGCATATGATTTAGAGTAGTGTGAGTCACCTCTGGCTGGAAGAGGTGTGGTCATTCCCAGTGCTGCTTCTCCCCACAGGCCTTCTTACCACCCTGGGCTCCCAGCAGCTGAAGATGAAGTTGCCTCCCACCCCTTCTGCTCAGAGGGGAGCATCTCTCCTCCTCAGCTGATATCAGTATCATTGTAGAAAGGTCACTGAGGGGATCCTGTATCTGATTCTGCCCCCTTCATTACCTGCATGTTTTTTTTCATGGATCTGAAAGGTACCCCTGCTGATGGCTTTGCTGTGAGGAGCAGCCCCATTGGCAGGGCTGGGGAGCTGTCTGAGGCTTAGTTTACACAACAGTTTTCCTGGCAGAGCTGTGTCAACCAGTGGTGTGAAATATAGCACCCTGTAGCCAGTGTGGCAGCAGCAGCAGCCCCCTTCCTCTGCCCATCTGGATACAGCTGTACCATCAGAAGAAGGGCTTTTGTCAGCTTAGCTTGCTGAGTTGAAGAGGTGGTGTAGCTAAACAGGCAGGAAAAAAACCCTTTTCTAGTGCCATGTGCCTTATGTCCACTAGAGGGCTCTCCCAGCATAATTATGCCAATCTGAGAAACCCTTAGGAACAAAACTATTATGACTCTTCTCCCTGTGCAAAACAGGGATCAGACCATTTGGGTCTTGGCACCAGAGGCTAATCATCATACCCATAAATCAGTGGTTCTCAACCTTGTTAGGCACAAGGCACCATCAGAAAATGTCAGTTCTTAATTTTCACTTTTTTTAATTCAGAAAAATAAAAGAGCAATTCTGCTGTTGCAAAGAACTCAGAAAGACCATGACAGGTCAGAATGCTTTTAAAATGATGAATTCCCGTTTGAAATCTCTGGGTTTATCTTCTGAATCATATTTGTACACACAACAGGTGCTAACACTGCATGGCATCCTATAGCACTCCCTTGAAAGGATGCCATGGCACCGCGGGTGAGAATCACTGTCAGGGAGAGATGAGTGATGATGTCCTCTGGAAGCTGAAAGGAGTTTGTAGGATTTGGCATCCAGCTAGGTAATTTGAATGCAATTCAAAGGGTGTGCTTTTATTTTTAAAAAATTAGAAATGTAATGTTGTTTATGTAAGGGGTAGAATTTGTGTTATGTACAAGTGTGAACCAAAACTTCCAAAAAGCAATGGGCTGTGTACTGAAAGACAGAAAAAGGAGTTAAGGTGCTAATGATTTTATGAACTTTGTTAGAGCAAAAAGTACCAGAACAGTTAGATAAGAAAGGAAGGTGAAAACATATGGGGCCCTTGGGCACCAGCAAGTTTTAAGAACAGCAAAGGTGTATAATTAAGGGCCTGGAAGGCTCCTCTTTTAGGATGGAAAAACAAGGCATCCTTGGAAGAGAGAGTGAGAGGAATATAGAGATTAGGTTGATGGCCAGTTCTGTCTTGGTAAGGTTAGTATGGTGCCCCTGAAGGAAGAATGGACATCTGCAGCCTAGGTTCTGAACCATTTCTGGGAGACTAGTACCCCAGAAGTAGATGATATAATTGGAAATTTAACAGGTAAAAGAAACTGAAAGAGAAGGGTTCTTTGCTATTAATAGCAACTAATGGAACAACACTGTCATGCTTCTCGGGACTCCTAGGTGGCTTAGTCATGGCTTTGAGTGCTGTTCAATGTTTATTCCTAATATTTCTGTGCAAATGTTGCTTTAGTAAAATAGTGTCATGATGTGGGATGTTACTTCTAGTGCACACTTGGAGTAATCTGTATAGTAGTGCTTAGCTTTTCATTGTAATAGAAGAATTTTCAGCTGAATTATTGGCAAGTCTGTAGCATTCACAGATGTTTAGGGCTGGAAGGGACCTTGTGAGATTATTGGGTCCAGTACCCCTGCTCTGGGCAGGAAAGACTGCTGGGGTCAAATAACCCCAGCAATGTGCATGTCCAGCCAGGGTAGTACAGGCTCCAGCCCTGAGGGTGAAGATAGACTGCAAATTGTAACTGAACTCTTCCTTCTTCTCATGAGACAAAGGATTAGGACTCAAGTTTGTAAAGTGGCTTTTTCTTGCAGGCAGAAGAAGTCTTGGGGAAATGGCCGTGGCTTTTTGCCAGAGCAGAGCAAAACAGTTCTCTTCCTATAGGCAGGCTTGCTAAATTAACATGTTGCTTTTTCTTTCCAGCTCCAAGCTCTACATGGCTGACCTGGAATCTGCATTACACTATTCCCTGCGGGGAGAGATAGAGAGGTTCTCTGTCCTAGAGGGAGAGCGGCTGGCAGCCCTGAAACACTATGTGACAGTGCTGGCCAAGGTGAGCACTAAGCACTCTTCAGCCAGTCATGGCTTCAAATGGCTGGATGGTCCAGTTGCCTCCTCATCCCAGTAGTAAAAGCCTTGTGTTCCTGATGTAAGAAATGAGACATTTGACAGTTGTCTCACTGTTATCACGGCAATTGGTAGGCTGCCCCATCATGTCAGATTAGAGGAGAGGTAGTCTAGCAAGTGAACCTACACTTGTCCCCTCACAGGCTGGTTGATCAGGGTTCCAGATAAATCAGTGTTTCCTGGTTTGGTTGGCCGAGGAGGAGGGCTCAACCTGTTTCTAAATATCACATTCTGACCTGATTTAACAACCTTTCCTTCCTCTGTGCTTTAAACATACCTATACCCTAGCCAGACTATAACAAACCCATTTGAATGATGGTCATGTGTGAACCTGCTTTAGGAACTGTGGTTGGGTCCTTAGTCTAAATATTTCAGGAACTAGGAATGGATCATCCACTGAGCTGGGAATGAAACCTCCCCCCCTCCCAAATCTGGACTAATCAGTCCTACCAACCCTTCTTATAAACCACAGCTTTGAAAACCCACATTGCCATATTCACAATTCACAACCACCTCCTTCGAACTACCACAAAGTGAAGTCCCTGTGGCAATGATGTGTCTCCCACCTCTACCACAATGCAATATGTTTCCTCCAGTTTCCTGCTCCTGTCTCTGCTTCTGCATGTGAACTGGCTATATCATCAGAGAGTTACCAACCAGTGCTTTCTGTGCTCAGCAGCCTTTGAAGTGTTGGGAACACCTCTTCTTAACTATGGTATATGGATGACCTGGGAGCTGTCTACAGTCTCCTACATAATCCCCCCCCATAGCCAGTCACTTTGAAACATTTTGACTCTCTCCACCGCCCCGACTTCCATGATTTTTTGTTTCACAAGACACTAAGTCCTTTGAAATCCTCTTTCACTGGATCAAGGTTCCCTCCCTTTACCTTTTCCCCCACTCCACCCACTTTACTGCTCATAAGGAGCTATTTTACTGTGATATAAAATGACTGCTGATCAATCTTTTAGAAACATTCTGGTATCCATAGAAGTGCCTTTGGGGTGGCCTATTATCCTGTTTTCTTTAGAGGCTTGGGTCTGGGCCTGAAAAGCTTGGAAGAAGCTCTGAGAAGAGCTTCAAGAATGCTTTAAGGTTCTAGAAAACATGCCTTTGTAGTGAGAGATTTAAGAAACCTGGTGTATATAATGTAGTCAAGAGCAGGTTAAGAGGTGACCTGGCAGTGGTCTAAAAGCTCGGTAAGAAATTCCTGATAGTAAAGGGTTCTTAAATCTTGCACAAACTATATGCTTGTGAATCCCAGTGTCAGAAGCAGATGCTGGGCATGCTCAGCCTAGAAATAAGGTGCACGTGTTTAACATTTGGATAGGGGATGGTCCATGGAACTGGAGGGGTTCCATGCCAGGGCTAAGCATCTGGAAACTGCACCCATGCCACATTCAGGAGGTGATGGCGTGGACAGGCAGAAGTGGTGATAGTGTAGATGCAGCTTTCAGCTGCCTATCTCCAGCTCAGGTACTCACTGGCTGGAAGTTATATCCCCATTGTAGCCAGGGATGGGGGGTGTGGGGAAGTGGCAGTGCCATGACTACAGCTTCCCAGCTGCCTGGCCTGCAAACAAAGACCTTTGCCACTAATGTGCTGCTGAAGCCCCCTGGCCTGCATTGGACTGGAGCCCCAGGATTTTCCAGCCTACAGCTTCTAAAGTTTGCCAACCGCTGCATTACAGTGTGTAACCATTGGAATAACTTAGCTAGAGTAAGGTAGAATCTCTGAGGTTTGCAGACATTTCATCAAGACAAGCTGGTTAGAAGGGATGCTGTAGCTCAGATTGAAGTTCTGGACCTGTTGCAGAAATTACCAGGTGAGACTTTCTGCCTGGTTTCACAGGAGGTCTAAGTAAGTTATTATAACTGTCACTTGCAGCCTTAAAATCTTTGAACCTAAATATAAGTCATGAGTGCAGTGAGTCTTAGGTTCTCAGCTTAGACCTTAGTTCCTTTTGCGCATTACCAGACTGGACCATTACTAACAGGTGAAGCTGGCAGGCTCTGCATGTAAAAGCACTAGGGCTGACTAGCTAGGGGTGCTGCAGGTCAGGAAAAGATGCATTTGAAGAGCTGTGTGAGGAGGGCATGACTATGAAAGGAGCAGTCTATACTGAGAAATGCCTGTGATGATATCTAACAGCAGTAGCAATGTCAGCTTTTAGTCTTCAGAGATACGCAACAGAGGATTTGAGAAATGCACAACGAGTCCAGCTCACCATCTTCTGTCTCCCAGCAAAGTTCATAGATCGTGAGCTGCTGCTGAGGGAGGAATGGTGGCTTTGCAGCCTCCCTCCTGTGCTGCTCTCTCCGTATCAACATTTACGCCAATCTGTTCTTAGTTTGGAAATAGCTGGTGCTGAGCATTGAACAGTGGTATTTCAGACATTGGCCACTAGACGGAGCAGTACCACCAGGATTGCAATGTTCTAGCCACCTTTGAACCCAAAAGCTTGCTTAAAAATTGTTTTCCAACTATTTAAGTTGGTCTAATAAAATATATCAGATTCACCCAAAGAACCTTGTCTGCCTAGCCACCTAGAACAACTTAATCTGCTCCAGTCCACAGAATTTGCCTTCTCTTCTGTGTTCGTCAGCTCTGGCTATAACTATTGCTGTTTCAGGAGACATTTAAACTAAGGATGTCTTGGTGTGGAGGGAAGTATTAATTTTGATTTTTTTTAAAGTAGAAAATCATGTTGTGGCACCCAGCCTGCATCTCCAGCATCTTGGGGTATAAACAGATGTTGCCAAATGAAGCAGATCAACTGTGCCAGGATGTGTCCTGACTCTTCATTGCGTGAAACGGACATTGCCTATTGTCCCACAGGGTCATGCCTCTGCCACTTCTGGGAGTGGCTGGGGCCCAATCCTGTGGGAGTACACTAGGGCATGGCACATCTCTACAAATGAGGGAACCTCAGTTTTCCTGGCTGGCAGAGGTACGCCTGGGGAACCTGCTGCTGTGCCTCTGCAGTTAGGGAAACTCCAGAGGATGCTGCAGAGATGTGACACCAGAGAATCCAATGGGAATTTCCAGAGCATGCAGGATCGGGCTCCTGAAACCCTGGAATGCCTGCCTGGGGTGGCTGGAAAGCAACTCCAGGCTTCCTGTACTCTCCTGCCTTAAAGCAGACACAGATCTACTGCAAAATAGTGGTACAAATGACTCCTACCTACGTTGTGACCACAAATTTAGGCACTTGTGTTGCGACAAGGGTCGTGGACATCTGTATGCTTGGCCTTTGTACTGCCGTGAAAATGTTTATGGTGGCACAAAGGTGATGTCTGTTTCCACCTTTACAGTACCTTTAGAGAGGACGGGAGGATGGTTGCAGTTTTCCAACAGAAATGTCAGGGTTAGAAATTAATGGCTGCCCCCCTGGGTGGATTAAGTCCATTTGCCTGTGTTTCCCTTGTATAGCATAACAGGTTGTCCATGTAGAACAGATGAGTGATATCCCAACACTCTTTGCCTCTCTTCTTTCATTCATTCTTCTCCTATTTGCTCGCCTGCTGTTTTTGTCCTTCAGCCCTGCCTGTCTCCATGTGTCTGCCTCTGTGTGATATGGGTCTCTCTTCCTGCTTGTGTGTGTGTCACTCACTTCTCCTGTCCCTGGAGTGCTTGTGGTTTTAAAGTGCTGATACTAATCGGATTTGAGTTGACTTATTGTCAAAGTAGCTTTCTGTGTTCCTCAGAGACTATTTGGAGCTACAATTGAGATTTGGATCTTGGCTCTTGGCCCACAGGACTGACTTGTTTGCGTGGGCAGCACTTTGAATACAAATGAAAAGCCCTCCCAACATTAGCTGCTTGAATCATGACCGAAGGGTCCCTTCATAACCAGCTGGGCAGACCTGGGCCTCGGGTACCTGTGAGCTCTCTCACAGCCAACGTTCTGTTATCATTCCCATCCTGGGATTGCCTGAGACTGTCATAGCTGAGAGTTTCTCCCAAGCAGTGTCTCACTGTGCTCTCCACTTTTGTCTGAAGGAGGTTTGCAGAGAGCACTAGGGCACAGCAGGACATTGCTAGGAAACTGAGTTAGTTGTTGCATGAAGATTTCTGTTATGTTACTCCCCAAAGGTCTAACTCCTTCTGACTTTCCTGGAACCAAAGTCAAGGATCTCCACTATATCTGTGCTCACCTCAGTCACAACCAGGGTTGAGGCTGTTCTCCTTCATCATACATCCTTCTCTGTTTTTTTTTGTTTTTGTTTTTGCCTGCAGTACTTTCCTGGACGTCCCTATGTCAAGAACTTCCTGGGCTCTCTGGACACCTGGCTGAAGAACCAGAAACAATCAAATATTTCCTGCAGTGCCTTAGAGGAAGCCTTGAAGAATAAAAAAAATGTAAGGCACTTGGAGAATGTTTCCAATCAGCCCTGTTGTGGGGTGGGGAGATGGCATGTGTGTCTGTTGTCTCACTGGAGTTCAGCCTTCTGCTGTTGCCTCCCTTTATCTCCTGGTTTATCACTGGGGTTGTTCCAGCAAAATCATCCCTGTCTGTTTTTCCCCATCAGGCTCCAAAACCAGCAGTACTGACACACAGTATGACATGGGTAGGATGCCAGGGCAGTAAGCCTCACTTCCGAGGGTATCCCTGTTCTCTCTGGACCTTATTCCACCTACTGACAGTTCAGGCATCAAAGTACAAAGCACGGACTGCAGGTAAAGACACACCCTGTCTGTGTACCCAGTTCAAATATAACAGCTGTTGTGCCCATACAGAAAGGGTTGGGGAAACTATCCTGTCAAGCAGGCCCAAATTCTCCTCAAGTCAAAAGGCCTTAGAATGGCCTTAGCTTTTGGGGGCAAATAAGGCATGTTCCAGCAGAGGCAGAGTTGTCAGAACTGAAAATTTTCTCTGGAATTAGATGGCAATCAGGAATGGCTACATTGAGGTGGCTGTGTTTGTCAAGGGGAGGGAATTTTGAAGCTGCAGGAATTACTAAAAAAGCTTGTTCCATCTTTGGCTTCTGGCCCTGACAGGGGTCCCAAGTGCCAAGAAAGCTTGCTTGTTTGGCTGGCCCCTGGCTTTGCCCCACATAGAGCTTTCAGATGGGTCAGTGTACCCAAGGCTGCCTGCTCTGGAGGTGTTTAGTCTCCTGAATGCACTTTAACTTCAGAGAGCTGGGAGGCTGCCAGGAGGAAATTAAAGGGATTGTAGATCCTGTTCTGCAGGATCCAAGGTAGCTTGGTGGCTGTTTGGATAGTAAGGTACATGCAGTGGCACCACATCCCTCTGAGACATAAGGTATCCCCAGCCCTGCATGCTACACTGACAGGGCTGTCTTATCTCCTCCACCAGAGCCGTTAGAGGTCCTTGGCGCTATGAGAGGCTACATCCGTTACTTCTTTGGTTGCCAAACCTGCTCGAAGCACTTTGAAGCCATGGCAGCAGAGTCCATGAACCAAGTGAAGAGCCTGGATGAAGCCATCCTGTGGCTTTGGTCAAGACACAACCGGGCCAACGCGCGGCTGGCAGGTAATGATCCTGCCACTGGTATTGGCAACAGCTTGGGAGAGGCATGGGGAGCATGGGATTTTTCCCTATCCCTGATAAGAAGGGTCCAGACCGCCCAGTCCTGTCTGAAGGAGGGATGGGGATCAGGGTCACATGAACAGCCAAGCTGTAAGGCTTGGGTTTAAAGTGAACCTTTCACAGATGCCCATTAATACTTTAAGAAGTGGCTGAGTCAGTACAGGTGTTTGGTGACACAGAGCATCCCTTCCACCATAGTGCAGGGAGATCTTTCCTCTTTTAGCGACCACTTTGCAGGCTGCCAATCACTTGGGAAGCAATGCTGGGGATAAGGGGAAAGCTTGAATCCAGGCAGTGTGCCTTCATGCCCCTCCCCAGCAAATTGAAATTTTGTTAATCAAGGCCTGCAGTGAGTGAGTAGCCCATAGTGAGTATCTAAAGGTTAACTCTGCAATCTAGAAAGAGGTTGGCAAGGAGAGGGTGGAGCTCACAGGCCCCTGAGGTTAAGGGAACAAGCAGCTGGCTGCTCCGAGACCGGGACCGCCCTAGAGATGGAGTTAAATCTTATCTGGCTTCCCACAGGACACTTTAAAAGATGACACGTGCCCTGGGCGGACCCTGGTCCTGAGACATCTCTCCAAATGCTCCATTTAACTTCTCCTTCCCCTCCTGCCCAGACACACAGACGCTACCCCTCCCCCTCCTCCCACGTGCCTCTTGAGTCCACTGTAGGGAGGAGTAGGGGACAAAAGCTATTGACAGCTGAAGGGGGAGAAGACTAGTGTCCTGGCCCTAGGGATAAATGAACAAATGACTTCCTTCTTGTCAATGTGGCCTTCCCTCCCCCCCACGGCCCTGTCATTGTGGGTGGCCAAAGTCCCAGAATTCATTTAGTTCCCCCCTGCACACAGTTCACCCAGTGACCCAAGCAGTGTGACCACATGACTAAATGAAAGCGAGACTGTCTGGTATAGTGGTGGGCAAAGGGAAGAGCTTGCTGAATTTTTATGAAGCCACTGTGACATCTTCCCCTGGTTGCTCTTTAAAATAGTGGACAGTGCCTGTACTAGTCGATGAGGGCAAGGAGGGGTCTCTGGACAGAAAGTCTCCAGTGAAATCAGCTCTAGAACTGAAGCTCAGTTCTTGGCATTGTTGGAGGCTACAGTCTCCCCCCAGCCACACCCCTGAAAGGCATATTAAGAGGAGCTGCTGCTGCAGATGACTGGAGAGGGGAAAAAGGGGATGACTTTCCAGTAGGGTTGGTTGGTCCCCAGTGGAACACTTCCTGCACCGCTTGGTGTGAATGGGGCCTGGCTGGAGCAAAGCAGAGAGATGAGCTAGGGCTGCAGGGCTCTGATGCAGTGGGAGTTGAGTAGGACAGCAGAGGGGCCACCTCTCTGAGATTGCCTATCTCCTGCCAGGAGTGTAAATGCTCTGCCTACTGTGCTAAGCCACGCTGCTGCAGCAGAACCATCTGGGAGTGTGCCTGACACCTTTGTTTGCTCTGATTTGTTCAGGTGACCTAACGGAGGACCCCAAATTCCCCAAGATGCAGTGGCCTCCCCCAGACATGTGCCCCTCCTGCCACAACGAGGTCAGTGGACAGCACGTGTGGAATGAGCCAACTGTGCTGCGCTTCCTCAAGATCCATTACTCACCAGCCAATATCTACTTTGATTACACAGAGCCTGAGAGAGTCCTGTTGGCAAGGCAGAGCTGGGAGGTGGGAGGTGGAGAGAAGGTTATGGGTGATGGAAGAGCAGACATGCGGAGGAAAGAGAGAGGAGAGAACAAGGGGGAAGAAGATATGGAAGAAGAGGAGGAAGCAGAAGAAAGGAGAGCACAGGAGCCAGATGGAGTGATGATGGAGAGGGAAGTGAGTGTTCTGGAGAGACAGGAGCTGCATAGGCCGAGCATCATCAGGATGAACCCCAGGGTGAAGGAGCTGGAGGAGGACATTGTGGACCTGGACTCCTTCAGTGAGCAGCACTTCAAGAGCAAAGCCCTGAAGGAAGCAGCCTTGGCAGCCAGCAGAAAACGGCGGCTGAGCAAGAGGGACACCATACCGCTGCTGATGGCAGATGATGATGGCCACCAAGCCTTTGACTACGTGGCTGCTTGGGAGCGCCTGAGGCGACGAGGGCTGGACTCCAAGCAGCTTGTTGGTGCCCTGGAGGAGGAGGGAAGTGACAGTCTAAGGAAGAGACAGTGGTTCCGTGTGCTGGGACTGGGGTTTTCCCGCCTGGATGTCAGCCTGTGCATCATCCTGTACTGCCTCTCCTCCGTGTGCCTGCTGGGCATGTACACCTTCTTCCGCATGCGGTTGAGGTCCCGCAAGGGCCGCCCTGGTTTTCCTGTGGCATAAGGCCTGAATTTGGGGAGCAGCTGAGGCCACTGGGGAAGGGGCTTGGGGTAGGCACTTCAGGTCATGTACTGACAGTTCCTTCTGGGTATCTTTATCTGAAGAAACAGGGAGGCACCTGACTCTTCAGCAGGGTTGCTATAGCAGTGGGTGCAGCTGGCAGATTTCTGGAATGTTTCTGGCAGCTCAATGGTCTCTGGCCTTGGCACTGCAAAAACATGGTGGTGCCCAGTTGGGCAGTCATGGCTTATTTTTCTTCAGGGATCCAGAAGCCTTAACCATCACCATCAGCTCCTCTGAGTTATTCATTGAAACCACTATAGGGATGGTGTTTGGGGCAAGGGGTGCAATGCTGTAGAGAATTGTGAGAAACAGGAGAGTTCTAGCTGTCCCCTTGTTCGGAGAAGCTCAGGCTTCCCTCCTTTCTGAGCTCAGGCTATGAGTGGTGTTGTCCCTTTGGACCAAATGACACTAGGAAAATCTCAGTTTGAAAGTTACTTCAGGTAAGCCCATCACAAATTGCATAAGAGCCATTGCTGAGAGGGTGGTCCAACCTGCTCTTGCTGATCTAGTTTGAAGACCCTCTTTAGCAAACACCAGGTCTGCAGACTACAGTTCTACCCTGCCTTTGGATGAACTGGCTTTAGAAAGGTAAAACAGGCCGTTTTAGGGTAAATCACCATAATTTGAAGACAGTGGGTAGAAAATAAGGCACCATTTGAGTAAACAATTAACATAACTGCCTCTTCCCACTGTCCCTGAAGGGCTGTGGGAGGGCTGGATAGTGAGGCATCTCTTGAGCTTTTCTGTTTTTTGTATCCCGTGCTGAACCAAGAGTTTGATCAGACTCCTTTTCATATTCCAGACATCCAGACAGACAGCACCTTACAGAAACAGGAGAACTGGTGCTTGAGAGATGCATAATGCTGGGAGGTGCCACTCTGACCATATTACTAGGGCTAAGGCAGATCTCCCAAATCCTGACTTGGAAACTTTTCTCCACCCCCAACCCAAGATTTTTGTTGTGAGCCACAAGGGTCCTTAACCTGACTCACCTAAACCCTGTCTTGAAATCCCAACTACACTGCAGTGTTGGGTTTCTTCTATGCCAAGTCTGCATTCTTTTGCAGGGATGGGGGTGTGCACTGGGCTTATATTTGATTTCTGCTTCTGCAGTTCAGAGCTTCCATCCTCAGATCATATGTCAAAAGTCACTGCACTTTCAGCTTGGTCATGCACAATTCTGCTAGAGCTTTTAATTTTATACCTCGTAAGCCTGTGTGGTAGTTAAGAGTGTTTAGTTTTTCTTGTCCCTCCCTTCTGTGTCTGGGGCTACACTAATATTGAGGGAATTCTGTTATCTGGGTCATGCTGCAGTTCCTCTGCTGTGGGCATGTTGCCCCACCTTCTAGTGTTCCTGTCACACTGGGAAGAAAATGGACCAGCGTTTCCTATAAGTGTCCCAGGTGGGGGCAGTCTTGGAGAAAACTCTCCCCGTACGGTCAAAAGCTACAGGCCATCTTTAACTGGAAGTCCTGGGCTGCTCCAAACCTGTGAGCTGCCTAAGATCAGAGCACTACCCCCTACCTCAGGGGTGGGCAAAATGTGGTCCATGGGCTGGATGCGGCCTGCCAAGCTATTCTATCTGGCCCATGGGGCCCCTAAAAATTTAGAAAATTAATATTTATCTGCCCCTGGCTGCCTGTCCTGTGGCCCTCAATGGCTTGCCAAAACTCAGTAAGCAGCCCTCGGCCTGAAATAATTGCCTGTCTGTGCCCTACCTACTTTATAAGGAGACCAGGACCATGTCACATTAGCACATCCTTTCACCCATCGGGGTCCTCTCTTATTGGTTTCAAAATCCGGGCAACCAAAATTGGGCAACCACAGTTTTCCAGATTTGCACCCAGGATCTTGTTCAAACCCAGACCCACCTGTATGAAGAGCACTTTAACGTCCTGGCATTAAATTTCTGACTTGCATCCCCACACCTGTTTTGCTTGCTGGTGTTTGTAGTTTAATTCAATCCTTCTATTTAATACAAACATCATGTTGCAGCTGATGTTGAACTGAAGAAGGGGAGTTGGACTGGAGGAATCCTAATGAAAATCATAGAAATGATGAGTCATATCTAAATCATCCCCACTCATTCATCCAGTTCTTCCAGGCTACACATTCCCCTTCTTGCATTCACATGTCTGTGTAGATTGTGAGCTCTGCAGGACCTTGCCTTATATCCTAAAAATAATGACCAGTATGTCTCCCTCTGGATAGCTGCATGTTGTGAAAAGTAGAGCTGCTGTCAACTTCCTGGGGACCCCATCCACCTGGTTCTTCCTTTGCAGGTTATCTTCAAAGGTGCTAGGTAACTAGTCTAAAATTAAGACCAAGATTTCCAAAAGGAATGGGAGATTTTGTTTGCTCAATCTGAGACCCCTTAAAAGGGACTTGATTCTTTTCATAGGTCTTGTGCCTTTAAAGAGGGATCAAGTTTGGCATCTGAAATAATCAATACTTTTGAAATTGGTAAGAAGGACCTCCTGTACTCACTCCAAGGGTTTGCTGGGGTTGGGAAGAGGGGAAGGAACTGTGCTACCCTATCACTGATGAGGGAGAGCTTAAAATAGCCCAGCTGCCTCTGCTGCTGTGAGGTCTGATCCATTTCAGGCAGCAGTAAAAGTACCAGTGGCTAACCCATGCATGTTTTGCCCCAAGTAATAGGTGACTACAGCTCCCTCTCCTGCAGACAGTATGGAGCTGTTGTCATCTCTTGCCATTTTTATTTTTTTAACATCCAAAACTCTTCTATTCTTATTGCAAGCGAATGAGGTTCGAATGTCCTGAAATTTGGAATTGGGTGACAACCTGTTGGAGCCCAAGAACACTTGTGCTCTCAGCCACTCCATCTCATCAGTGCCCTTGGGAGCCACCTGGCCTCTGCTTCTCTCCTTTCCCTTGCATGGGCTTTGCCTGTCCTTAAGTAGACCCTTCTGAGGTTTGCCCTGAGCCAACAGAGATGCTTCTGGCACTGAGATGTGATGCAAGGGAGTTGGAACAGGGACTCTTCTGAGCAGTGTTTATAAAAATCAGGGCTGGGATAGCTGATCTCTTTGCTCCTTTGAAAAATGCACTCAACCTTGGTGTCAGTCTTGAAAAGCTGACAGAGTGCTGCCTGCCTCTCCCTGAACCCTACCTTTGGCTTGGTTGGTAGCCCTTGGGATAGGAAATCTGCTCAAAAAGTTCTGCTCTGTAGTGGGTGAAGGAGTATCTTTTTATTTTTTTGTTGTAGCAACAGGTTGGTTTGGTTTAACTTTCTTCTCTTTAAAGGGGTGAGTTGGTTTGTAATCCATCATCTTCCCTGTTCTCTGGAAGAGAGAAAGTCTCCAAGTGCCTGGCTTCTCATGCTGTCATTGTGTCTATGCTTGTGTTAGTAGAATAAATTATTTTTGTTAATAAACGTTCTGTTGTGTTGAATCACAGGGTGTGTATAAAGTCTGCTGCATTCATGTGTCTCAATGTGGGTGACACAGGGCAAGATCCTCTCAGTCATTGTACATGAGTCTTGTTCATTCAGTTCAACTGGGACCTGGGCCCGGACCCATTTCTGCCAGCTGTCCAGCCCTCATGTCCTGTCCTCTTTACTGTTGTCACTTCCCCTTGCACCTTTAATGCCTCTTGCTTCTGGTTTATTTCAAGCAACTGTCCCCCCCTGCCACTTTTTTGGCAAACCCTGGCTCCAGTTCCTCCCCTTCTGGACATAACTAGGCTGTGCTGCATGGTGCTCCACTCAGAGTGGCCTGTGGGAATCTGCTTAAAGGATCCTAACACCCTCCATTGTGTACACATCTCTGCATCTTTGTCTCCACCGTTGAACCCTCACTTCTATTCTGCTATAACCCTCAAAGCTAAACAACCCCTTGCTCTAACCCAGACACTGGATTGTATCAGTTTTCATCCAAATTAACAAATATTTTTACAAGTTCTTTATGCTCCACTTCCCACCCCAACTCCAAGATTTGGTTCTTTCCTTCCTGTGCTCCCCTCGTATCTAGCCCATGCACTATACTGAAGTGATCTATAGTCTGGTTTTCCCTTCATACCTATTAACTTCACAAGTCCTACTGTGAAGAACTCCTCCACCTTCCCTCACTTTTGCCTGCTTGTAATCCACCAAAAATCTCGCATCACTTCTGTCCTGGCAGTGTGAAGACTGGTCATGGCTGTTTCCAGAGGCCCATCCCTGGTAGCTAGATGGAGTGGCTGGAAAACAGCATGATGCATTTGTGCTGCTATGCTTCAATAGCCCTTAGCATACCAGTAGCCCTACCTGGAAGTTTCTACTTGATTTCTCTTCTCTTCGCTGTGAGGCCTGCTGCTGGAGTAGCAATTCAGCTAGTGAGGCTGGTTGACCTGAAAATGAATGAAGAGGCTTTAATTTGGTGAAATGGTTCAGAGGAATTGCTATCTGCCAGTCATTTGAAGGCCTACATTGATTGAGCTGGTGGGTCTCAGTCCAGCTCCTTATAGGAAACATTCATTATCATAACTTCCTCATACTTCAAACACAGGCCCGAGCTTCAAGTAGCCATGAAGAAGAGCCCCAACCCATCTTTAAAGAAGGTTTTCACTCTGAACTCAGGGATGGAGCTTGGGGCTAGATGACTGGACCTTGTGAGGTCTCCTCCAGCCCAACCTTTCTATGATCCTATGATGTTCAGCTCCCTTCTTCCTATCAGCCTTGCTGCTGCACTTGGTGTGGAACTAAACAGATGTGTTCTCTCCCCCAGGCTTTCTGTGTCTGTTTCTTTTCTCTAATGCTAATTTCACTTTAAATTTAACACAGCAGTTGTGAGCGGCCTCCACAGTGTCATGTGGGGCAACTGGAACCTGCTGCAGCACTTTCTGGCACTTGGATGCCCTTGCCCCAAACAGACCAGAAGGGCAGAGGTAAGGAATCACCAAGGCTTGGTGCAGCTGATGCCCCTTGTCCAGGAATAGGGGTATACTACTGCTGCCCAAGACATTAATCTTGGGGGTTAGGGCAGCTGGCCTCTTCCCCCTACACCCATCAACTGCTTTGCATCTTGTCTGGAGACTTGTCTGGCTATTTTTCTAACAGTTTGAATTAAACCCAAGTCACCACCTTTTTGTTCGTGCTCTCGTCCTCTTCTCCCTGTGCCCCACCTCTCCCCAGCACTGCTGTCCCCATTTCTCCTGCCCTTTTACCCTTGTTACAAATCATTAAGGAAAATGGTTGTTTTCCTGAGCTGGGCCTGGGCCATCTGGTCCCCTGGTGCTGGCTAAATCCTCCTGTAACAAATTCATTGGGATTACACTGACCTCCCCTAATCTCAGCCCTTCCCCCGCTGTGGGGGATTTAAAAGGATTAGAGACTGGCTGATAATAAACTTTATTAAGGGGGGAGTGGTGGGTGTCAATCCGATTTGGAGCCTTTTTTCTTGACATCTTCACTTTGCTCAAGTGGTGGGGAAGCTAGGGTCCCAGATGTACCAGGGAAATGAGGGCATACTGGTGGTGTTTGAGGGGACAGGGCACCCAAGATCCTTTGCTTAGTCTGCCACCCTGTGAGTTCCTGTTTGGGAGTTTAAGACAGCTCCTGGCTCTGGGCTGGACAAGGAGTATAAAAGGTTGGGAATTCTCCCTCCTCTGCTCTCCTTACTTTATATTGTTCTTCCTGTCCCTTTTTTCCCCCCTCACTCACATTCTCATGTCCCTTTTTTTCTCTTCCCATCATCTTCCCTTTCCCCTCTGCTTCATGCTTTTTTAACACCTGCACAAATCCTCCCACTTGCACCCCCCTCAAAATGGCACATGAGGGCTCCTTGATGAGGGTAAGAAGGAGAGTCTTGTGACTACAATACTAGATTGAGTCTCAAAAAACTTATTTAATCCCCTATGTGGACCCAGGCTTCATTGTCTAACTTTGAGCCAGTCATCTCACTTCTCTTACTCCACCTGTTAAATGGGAATAATAGCACTGCCCTATTTAATGGATATATCCATTCATGGTCTGTGAGGCACTTAGAGATCATGGTGACAGAGGCAGGCAAGTACCACCGTTGATAGATTTGGATAATTTCTCCACCCACCCTGAGGGTGCAAGCAGGAGGTCAGGCCCAGAGCCTGCAGAAGCCAATGCTTCTGCCCCTTCTAGCGTGGCAGCTCCCCTGCCTGTCTGTGGGCAGCAGGATGGGTTTCCAAGGAATCAAGCTGCCCCTTAGTGGTGCAACACTTCTCCAAACAATGGGCCTGCAGGAAAAGAGATATCACTGAGGTAAGTCTGCTTGGTAAATTTTATAACCATCTTAATTTGCTATAAGCTTTGCTTTACTTTGATAGAGGCATTGCCTCCTTCGTGCTGGGGCACTGGCTGCTTGGCCCTAGGTCAGCAACTCCCTCCCTTGCTTCAGCTCCTAGCTTGAGGCAGTGCAAAGAGCTGGGAGTAGGTGGAGAGGGTGGGAGCTGTCCTCAGCCTGGCTGCCAGACTGGGGTGAGGAGAGACCCACTCAGATGCAGGCTGGGAGGGGTTTATGATGGGAAGATTTAGGACAGTTTCCTGCCCCTGACAGAGTTACCCCTTCTCTGAATTCAACTACGTTATCCCTGGAGAAGCCTGGGCTTACCCCATGTCACCAGCAGCTCCCCAAATTCTTTGTGGATGGCATTATGCTTTGGGAGTACACCAGAATGCACCAAGAGGGGCAGGTGTTTCTCACCTTTGCCCTGGAGGGTAAGGGGCATTTCCCCCACCACGTTCTTCGTCTGCTGCCATCCCCAGCTGAACGCTGTCATGTACGGTCAGTGCCCTCTCACAGAGTAGCAGGTTTTCCAGCAAAAGGTCCCTGGCCTCCTTCCTTGGTTCTGATTGTGGAAAGTAAAAAGCAAATGCTTAAATAATTTCTGCTTCTACCCCTTACTTTCGCAACACATTTCTTCCCAGGACTTAGGGTCTGCAAGAGGCTGAGGGATCCTCCTGGTTTAAATGCCTGCCACATCCATGGATAATCTATGTATGGCAACATGGCTATGCCAGCTCCCTTTGACTGGAGAGAGTGGTTGGGTAGGACTATGTGCACCAGACACCACTAATCCATACTGTGCCTCTCTTGCTGTCTCTCTGCCCCTCCTTGGACTTGCTTGCTGTCCCTCCCCAGCCCTGCGATTGATAAATGGGGTGGGTCTTCATCATTCACAGAGCTGCTGCTGTTGCCGTCTTTCACCTTGATTTCCCCAGGGCACATATCACCATTTTCAATAAACTTAAGGCTTCACCCTCACTCCCTCCCCTCCAGCTGGTCCCCTCTTCCATCAAGAGGGCAG